CGTGATTAAAGCGCTCTGATTAACACACAGACCTGCTTTCTAGCGAACAGCAATGGGAGGCTTGGGGGAATCCAGTTGGCATCTAACAAGGTTGCTGCTGCAAATTGCTCGGATATCAATTAGCTGGCTAGGTAAACACCGCCCGGGATCTTGTTTGCCGTAAACTGGTCTCCGGTTACCTTGGCCTGGCTGTTCCCTGGAAGTGGCAGCGGCACGTTCAGGAGCATCTCGGTGGCAGGAGGGCGGGTGGGAGCCAGGACCCCCGCATACCAGGGAGCAGAGACGGAAACACGGGCTGGCCCTTGCTCCCCTGGGTGAAGCCTAGATCGGGGTATGCAGCGCCCAGCTGATGCTGCCCAGAAAGGCAGGAAATGGGTCCCAGGCCAACAAGGGAGTGCTTGCAAGAACGCCCGTCCCTACAAACGCCTCTGCCCCAAGCGCTGGAGCTCGCTCCCCGGTTGTCGTGTGGTCTTGAAGCAAAACAAGAGCCTGAGGCTGCTAAACCCAGGGCTGGGGGGCAAATGCGCCGTGGGCTCTAGCAGGAAATCTCCACGTGCCAGGAAGAGCCACTACCTTTGCAGAAGGAGAGCCAGTTCCCACTGCTGGGAGAAAGGGGCTGGATTGAGCTACAAGATCTCCAGGCAGGGAGTGCGGCTGGGCTTCCAGCAGCAGCAGGCAGGCAAGCAGGGCCCCGGCCAGGCACCTGGGCTGGTCCCACGAGGACTGGCTGGGGTTAGGGTTAGAGTTAATTGCCCTTGGACGCCCGCTGATCGCAAGCTTGCGCGTCCCCCGGACCCCTGGCATGCAGTCCTGCCGTAGGGCACCAGCTCCGCTCCACCCTGGGAGGGAGAAGGGGGTTTTCAGCCACTCCGAGTGCAACTCTTCCGCCCCCGCTTTGTCTGGGTGCCACCCTCTTCTGCCAGCCAAGAAAGGCAGAGCTGTTCCGAAGCGAAGCCTTGTGCTGCAGCGGGTCTCCCTCGGGCTCGGGGCCGGCTGCTCGCATCCTTCCCTGCCCCTGGACCGTCTTGCAGCAGCACCTGCTGCTTCCCTGGCTCTGTGAGGAGCAACACGCCTTCCCCAGCACACGTGTGCCATCTGGAAGAGGAGGCAGCAGCAGCAAGGCTGGCGGTGCTGCTTGGTGCCAGCTGTTGGGTGAAGCCCCGGGTAGTCTCTAAAAGCTGCACAAGATGGGCTGGAGCAATGCATAGCAAAGAACCAGGGCAGGGACGCCTGGGACCCTGGGCTCGGAGGGGATGTTGGGGCCATTTCTCCAAGCCCTGTGAGTGCAGGTAGCACCACGGGCGGGAGCTGAAGGATTCATGAGCATGCATGGGCTGGACTGGACCCAGCACCAGTCGGAGCACGCCCCATGCCCAGGGGGGCCCATTGGCCTGGCCGTGCCCTGAGCCGGGTGCTGCCGCTCCTGGGACAGCCCAGCAGCCAGCTCGGGAGGCCTGAGCCGCCGGGGCCTGCTGCCCTGGGAAGAGCAGAGCAGCTGCCCGGTCTGGGGGGCAGTGCAGGGAGCCCGGGCTCCTGGGTTAGTCTTTTACAGCCCAGCCTTCCCCTGCTCCTGCCTCATGAATATTCATGGCCCGGACATATGGCTGCTAGGTGGTGGTGGGAGAGGGGGGAGAAGGAGCGGAGAGCACTGCCAATTGCGAAGCACAACTTGTCCCAAACCGAACATCAGTGCAGCACAACAAATCCGAGCTGGCGCGTAGGCTGGCGCGGGGTGGGGGGGGGGAGCTGGAAGGAATCAAAAGGCTCCCGCGGGCTGGGCTTGGGAGTGGGAGGCACGGAGCTTACTCACTCCTCTTTCATGTCTGGAGACGAGTTCAAGTCCTGGCTCGGCTCGCGAGAGAGCGCGAGTCTCCCTGCCCAGCCGCCGGCTGGACTCTGCCGGCCGCCTCGGCCCGCGGGAGCTGGGGCTGGAGCAGCGGGACTGGTGTCGGGGGTCAGGGATGGCTCGGGAGCCTGCAGGTGGTGCGGGCGGGGGGCTGCGGGGCCCGGGGATGCTCGCCATCCCTGCAGCTGCTCCTTCTCCCACCCTCCATCACGCAGTGCTTGTACCAGCCGGCCCCGGCGCTCTGAGCCCCGTGCCAGGCCTTGGCCCAGGTCTGGAGGCAGCCCTGCGGAGCCAGGTCGGCCTGCCCCGTGGCGGCGAGGACTTGCATAAGAGCCTGTGTGGAGCCAGGATGATAAATGTTAAAATCTGCTGCAGGCTATTGCTGACCTAATTTCAGCTCTCGCTGAGGATCTTGTCATCTGTTGCTTGCCGTCTCGGTGCAGATGGGCTGCCAGTGAGCTAAGCGTGTGTGGGGAGGGGGAGAAAGCCATGGGAACCTGTGCAACTGATGTCTGGGGGAGGCCGACCTGGCTTGGGCGGCATGGAGGTTGGGGACGTGGTGACCCCGGGAAGGGGAGGGTGGGAGAAGGGTTGGGGCATGTGTAGGGTAGTTTGGCCCTGTATGCTGCACAAACCGCCCGCTGTTGGGACCCTCCCTGGGAGGTGCTTGGGGCCGGCGCTCCCTTTCTCCCTTAGGATTCCCACTAATTGCATGGGGCCGTTAGTGAGACTCTGCATCTTTATCTAATTGGCTTTTGAAGGTGCTGGGGGCAGGAGCCCAATGCTTACTGCCCCCCATGCCCAGCACCTGGGCTCCTTCGTCAGCTGGGGACCGCCCTGCTGCGGCAAGCCGTGGTCTGAGCCCCCCTGCCTCCTGCCTCCCCCTCTTGCCATGCGAGTCCTGTCCCCGGGCAGCTCCTCCATGGGGTCTTGCGGGCTTCTGCGAGATCTGACAGCAGGGAGGGAACGGGGGAATCGGCACCCGGGAAAGCTCGCAGCCGGCACAGGGGTCAGCCCCAGCCCCTCGCCTGTGGGCAGGACGGGCTCTTGCCGCCGCGGCTGGAGGACGAGCGTGGCTCCTAATTAGCTGAGGGTGACTTTGCTGGTGTTGCAGAACTCTTCTTTCTCCGTTGCTTTCCCTTTTCTGCGACGCGGGTTGCCGCCTAAACGAAACAAAAGCCCTCTGGCAGGTGCAGCGGTGGCTGGTGCCAGCGGGGCCCTTGCCTGGACAAGAGGACGGTCCCCCGGGCACGTGGAGGGCTGGGACAAGCAGGACAAGACCTGTGTGTAGGCTGCTGGGGGGATGCTGCGGGCTGGAGCAGGATAGCGGAGCAGGGATTGCAGGGTGTCGGTGGAGCAGGGCAGGGCAGGGCTGGCGAGGCAGGAGGAGGTCCTGACTGCAGGGTGGAGGACTGTGGGGCCAGGCCAGGCCAGGCTGTCAGATCCTGAATCTGTTTTTAAATGAAGCACGAGGCTGGGGCCACGGCTGCTTCTGGGGGTGGAAGGGAGCTTCACAAACCACCCCGGTCCCTGGCACCGGCCTCACTTAAAAGGCCAATCAGCCCAACTCCATGTGCCTGTGTTATTGCTGCTGGGAGCTGCCTCTCCCACCGCTCTCACCTGCCAGCCGGTAAAACCGCCTCTGATCAGAGATGAGAGCCACGCGGCCGAAAGACAAAGCTATGAAAGGTGACAGTGATGGTGACGGAGCGGCCGGCTGCACCAAGCCTTTGGCTGGAGAGGCAGGAAGGAGGTCTGCAGATCAAAGTACCCCTGCGAGGCCTCCCCGCTGCCACCCAGCCACGCCGTCACGTGGACCGATCTGAAAGCTTAGCATCCTCCCGGGAGACGTGGGGGCTCTAAGGAAACACTGAGCCTGGTGAAGAGCAAGCATCAGACCGAGGGTCGCCTGGGAAAGCGCAGCCTGATGCAGGGAGTGCTCTCCTCCCCGGGAGCAGGGAACTGGCTGGAAAGGGGGCAGAGAAGACTCCGTCCCTGGGGTGCAAGCCCTGTTATCATGCGGAGGAGCTGCAGGGAAGTGCTGTGGTCAGGAGGGCCACGGGCAGCTGCGCATCCTCCAGCTCCTGCGGACGCCCCGCTGCCCCAGGTACCTCTGCCCAAGACCTCGGAGGGGCAGGGAGGGCTGGCCGCTGCCTGTGGGCTTGACCGGGGCCAGTAGCCGGGGACTTGGGGATGGTTCTCCAGGGACGCGAGCCAGAGAGGCTCTCAGCTCAGGGATCCAACCCGAAGGTTTGACTCTTGCATCTGCACTGCCCGGCAGGCCCAGTCCAGCAATGCTGCTGTGCACTTTGCGTGCTGACGGACGCAGCCCCGTGGCTGGGAGCCCTTGGCTATGACCACAGTGCATGCAGCCCATTGAAGTGCCCTGATGGAGGTGCCTGCCTTTTGGGCTTAGGAGCTGGATGTAGAAGCCTGGAGGCCTCCAGTTTGAAACTCTTGGGGCTGAACTGAGTAGGCATGTCGGGCATCTCGGGCTGGACCCCCAGCGCTCTGCCTCTGACACCCAGATGCTAGTAGAGAGACTGGGCCTGGCCTTCCCTTGGAGCATATGCACCTGGGGCTGGAGCAAGCTGCCAGGCCCTGTCCCTCGGGAGAGTCCTAGCCTGCTGCATGGCCTGGCTGGGCTGGGAAGGGTGAAACGAGGGCGGTGGCACTCTCCTGCGGTGTCTTGAATCCTCCTGCTGTCTCCCTGGAGCTGTGTCTTGCATTTAGACATGCACAGATGGCTGCAGTCTTGGGGCCTGCATTGTGTCTGGGGAGGTCCCCCACCCCCGTGCTTCTCTGCATTGCCTTGCCGGGAGCACGTGGCTAGTACCGGTCCCCATTCCCATCGCTCTGTTGAAATGCTGGCCCCAGGGCAGGATTGACCCCTTGCTCCTGGCCGGCTGTGGTCCCAAAGCTGCCTGGCATCGGTGCTGCTTTCCCCCTGCCGCTCTACACCTCTCTCCTCCACAGCTCCAGATCCAGCCAGCACTGGCCTTTTTGCTTCCCCACTTGGCATCTCCTGAGCTTTGGGGCAGGCGTCTGCCCAGCCCAGGAAAACCCAGGAGAGCTTCCTAGGATGGCCAGGGCCCCCGGCGGGAGAGGCTGGTGGGAAGCTGTCATGCATTGGGGTCACTTCTGATTTCTCCAGGCCTGGGCGAGATGGCCCAGCTGTCCGCTTGCTTCCAAGCCGAGCTGTCGGAGATGAATCTGCCCGTCTGGGGGGACGCAGCGCGGCGGGGAGCTGCTTGTCAGAGGCTGGACAGGGAGGTGCTGAACCAAGACGCAGGGAGAAAGCTGGGGACCCCGGATCCAACCCATCCCCGCGGACCACGTGCTTCTGTGAGCTGAACTCATCCTCTCGAGTCCCTGCTGCTTTCGGAGCCAGCGGCTGCCTTGCTGAAGCCAGGCCCCGGGGAGGGATGCGTAATGGGCTTGACCCCTCCAATCTCTGCCCTCTTGGGTGGAGAGGTGCCTGGCCTGCCCACACTCCTGACACCGGCCCCTATTTGAATAAACCCTGCAGGCGTTCGGGGCCTAATTAAGATGCAGAATCTGGGTTTCTCAAAGGAAGTTGTTTCCACTGATTCACCTGCCTGTAGCTCCCCAGCGAGCTCTCCTCTGGGGCCTGGAGAACGGCGAGGCGCCGGCTCCTCCTTTTTCTTCTCTTCTTTCGTGCTTCTACTGACCTACTTTCCCTGTGAGGTGCATGCTAACGAGCTCGGCTCCTCAGGGACGCGGAGTTGAGTTTTACCTTGTCCTCCGGACTCCTCTGAGCTGGATTCCCTTCATCGTGCGGCTTCGATGTGGTGCCGGGAGGAGGACCAGGGGCCCTGGGGCGGTGCTTCCCAGGCCCGGGCAGCTAGACTGGGGAAGGAGGGGGCTCTGGGTGTGCTTGGTGCTTGTGTCGGTCTCGGCTGACTGAGGACTGGATGGCCCATGGCCGGGCTCGCGTGTGCCCTGCTGAAGTTTGTCTCTGTACCCCCGTGCTGGTGCGACGGAGATCTGCAGTAGTGTTTGCACTGGGCAGCCATGCGAGGTGCGGGATCATGCAGCGCTGGGCTGACCGGCTGGGTGGACTTTGCTAAACCTTGTGCCCAGAGGTACTGGGGGTGGGAGAGAATCCCTTTGGTTGCTGTTGTTAGGCCTGTATTGATCATCCTGTCCCTTGGGGAAACCAGAAGAGCCTCCGTTTAGTGCCCATTGCTCCAGAGCTCTGGCTAGGAAGGGGCTAGCTTGGGTTGACCTGGCCTGTACATGATCCTCCTTAATTAAGCACCCTTCTGCGGCATCCCCTACTGCTGTACCATTGAGAGTTTGGCACGTGATTGCTGGGAAGGGTGTTATGGGGCCAGGCCCCCAGGGCAGCATCTGCACAGGGATGCACCACAACCGCCTGCATCTGGTGCACAGGATCGGGGCAAAGGCCTCTTGGTTTTCTTCCACTCCTATGAGCTGTGTCTGAAAAGGCAGGACCCTGCCTGTGCAACCCAGCACCTCTGGGCCTCTCTGGCTGCGGCTCCTGCTCCCACCGACGCTGGTGTAGCAGCAGTGGAGTCACTCCAGACCGAGTGAGAAGGGGATCGGGCCATGTGCATGCTCTCTCGGCCCTGCTTGCCTTCCTGCTGCTCTGCCAGGCAGCCTGGGGCTCGCTGGCTGGGTCGCTGGTGCCGGGAAGGAGTCCGTAATGCAGTTCTGGTTCCCGCTGTGTTGCAGGCAATGAAGCCCAGCAAGCGGCATCAGCAGCACGTGGCATGCGCCAGGCACAGAGCTAGCGGGGAGCAGGGGGGACACGCAACAGCACACGCGTTGCCGCTTACTGTTCGGGCATGTGTGTTCACCGGCTCGACTCCTCTCAGCCCTGCTGTGCCGGGAACTTCACTTTGTGATGCCAACACTGCTGGCTCCCAGGGGTCAATTGGGAGCTGAGCTCATGGGCGAAGGGCATTCGACCCCCCCCCCCCCCTGCTGTGGCTCACCCCCAGCCAGACAAAAGGCAAAGCATTGCCGGCGCATGCGTGCTGCCAGCGCACCTGCCATCCTGCGTGGCAGGCAGCCAGAGCAGGTCCGGTCTCGCCCATCGCTGCCCATGGGAATCGGCCTGTCTCTGTCCTGGCTGCGGACTCTGTTTAACACGGCTCCTGTCTTGCCGTGTGCTCCGAGCACGGCCAGGCTTGCAGCAAGCGACACGTTGCACTGGTCAGTGGAGCTGCACCGGCCTTGCGTGCCAGGCACAGGGCAACGCTATGGGGCGTTGGCAGAGGCCAGTACTGGGGCAAGTCGACCTCTGATGTGCACACACGTGTGTTGGACCTTGATCTTCTGGGTCCTCCCTGCTTGGTGGTGAACAGGACCCCGGGCGGCAGCTTGAGGGAGTGGGACTGGCCCAGCCTTCCTGCCGTGGGAGACCTTGCAAATAAACTGTGACTAATACCATTTCTCTCCCCTCCCGGCTCACTGGATCTATCAATAGAAGCAACCTTAGGGGGCACGTCTGCTCTCTTCTTTTTCCATGCAAGTTGCCAACAAGAAGTCGGATCAGGGTGACAAATCCCAGCTGCATCCTGCCTTTAAGGACACTCCTCTCGCCCCCCTCGGCATCCCCCCCACAAGTCCAGATCCTGTCCTTGCTCAGCCCTGGACCTTCATCTGCTCTGTCGCTTTAAAAGGCTCCTGGATTTAATGTCATCAGAGCTGGCAAGGGCAGTGTCCCCTCTCATGTGTGTCCCTCTTGGAGCCTGGGCAGGTTCAGCTAGGCAGGGACAGCCAGTGCCATCGAAAAGGCTTTAGCCTGGAGCCGTGCTTCCTCATGGCTGGGCCAAGAGAGGGGCTGGTGCTCCCCTTCCCCTACTGATGAGCCTCAGGGATGCAGCCATCTCCCATGGAGGGGGCTTCCCTCCACCTGTCTGGTGCTGCCCTGGGAGGTGGCTGCCTCTGGGCACTGGGGCAGGCCTGGTCTTGGTGCCCCATGCAGGGCCTGCCCCTGAAGGCACGCGAGCTGTGGGGAGGGCAGAGGAGCAGGGCTGCCCAGAAAACCGCCAGGCTTGGGATCATCCGCCTCCATCCTTTCTCTTTGGGCATGTCTATCCCTGAGCCAGGTGAAGTTTCCTCTCCCCTTCCCTCTGCCCCCTGGCAGCGAACGCCTGAGCTGGGCACCTCTGATGCTGCAGTGCCTGCTGGCCACATGGGCAGTGGAGGAGCCCGGGGATGCGATGGCAGCTGTGCAGCCCAGGGATGTTCATGGGGAGCTGTGCCCAGCTCCCTCGGGGTGAGGGGTGCGGGAAGTCTGAACCTCCCCGGTGCTGAGGGGGTCTGGGCATGGAAGTGCAAGGCGAGGGGCTGAGAAGCTGAGACCCACCCCCGGGCTCTCATTGCACCCAACTCAATGGCTTAGCCCATTTTGTGGCCCAGGTGGCTTTGATGTAACAGGGGCAGGGGCTGGAAGCAGGGAAAACCTCGTGGCAGGGAGAGGGAGCCGCATGCCCAGGATGCCACTGGCTGTTGCTCCGGCACAGGTAGCGCATTGAATGCAGCGAAGTGCAGGGACTGAGCTGCAGCCCACCGGCCTCCTCAGATTCCTCTTCCCAGCCTCCTGAAGCCAGGGGGATTTGAGCTAGCGCCTGTTTGCTGACAGCCAGGAGGTCTTTTACGGGTTTTCCTCTGGCAGATCTCATTGCCGAAGTCCCCGCTGAGCAGTTTCTCTGGCGCTCATTACTTCCCACCGACAGTAGCAGCTGTAGTCCTGCCGAAGCCTTCCTAGCCTGATTTGCATGCAGATTTGCATAAAGCCTACCTATGCTCTGCATTCGTTTTCTCCATGGAGCGAGACAGACACTTCCCTCTCCCCGGTCCCGGTCCGGGCCTGGGCAAAGGATCTCGGCACAGGTCTAGGAAGGGCAGACGATGGCTGGAAGTGCAGGCAGTTCCCTCTTCCCCAGCGTCGGCCCCCCGGCTTTGCAGCCCCAGGCCTAGCAGATGTATTATTTGAGGGCCCCTGCAGCTGGCTGGAGCAATCGGCTTTGTTCCAGGAAGGCTGTTCTCCAGCCGAGGCCAGGACAGTGCAGCGCGAGGCAAGTCTAGACACCGGCTGGGAGCTGGGCACTATGAGCGGGCTCACCCAGGGAGCTATGCCAATGCCCCTCCATCCTGCCTTGCAGAGCCACAGCTTCTCTGGGCCTGTGCTGCAGCCTCGTCTCTCTCCATCTCCATCCTACAGCCCTAGGTCCATGCACAGCACGGCCCTTCCAGGCTACTTTAACCCTGCCCCCCGGCACTGCTTGTTATTCCACGGCTGGCAAGGTTGATCATTTTAATCATGACGGTGTTTTCCAGCTGCTGGTGGAAAAAGTACCCGATTCCCATGTTGGACTGCTGTGCAATGGAGACTGTCAGTGCTGTGTGATGGGTCTTTTCAAACCTGGAGGGTGAGCATGGGACACTTATTTCCCACCATCTGGAGTGCTGGAATGGCCTTCCCTTTCCATCAGGATTGCCGTTTGATCTGAGCCAGGCCGTGTCACGGGGATGGCAGCAGAGACTGAGAGCAATGTAGAATCTGCTACAAAGTCTGTTTAAATAAAAATAGCATTTCCATTGCTAAGACACAGGGCAGTGCCAGCGAGACAAAGCAGCCAGGGCTTGGCACTGAGGTGTTATGAAAGAAAGTGAAGTTTCCATTTGCAAACATCCTTGTAGTTCCTGGGTACGTGGTGACCGGGGAAGGGATCAGCCCCACCTAGGCAGAGCACACGCGTGGGGAACAGCAACCCGTCTGCCAGAGACGGTGCCTGTGCATGCGCCCCTTGGGCCCAGTCGCCTCCCTGCTTCGCCGCCGCCTCCTCTCCACCCTGCTCATTCACGCATCCTGCAGGAGGCTCCCTTGGCAGCCCATCTGCATCACCTCTTTAATCACCTGGAAGAGTCACGGTTAAGTGGCATGTCGCTCTCCCTGCCTGTCCCCTGGGAGGGCTCAGCAAATTACCATAGAGCAGCGCTGCTGTATCATTTCGTCCTCGCCACTGGAGGATGTTTAAGGCTGCCCATTCCCTGCCAAGGGTACCAAATGCTTGTGATTTGATTCTGCAGCTGTTCCCAGCCATGGCTGGCTGCACATGCTTCAGGCCTTCACTGCTTCATGTAGACTGATACTCCGGCTAGGAATATGCATGGCTTCCCTGGTTCGTGGGGAGTGAAATCAAAGTGGCAAACCCGTTTTGGGCATTTCTCCCCACCACTGGCGCTACACCCCTACACATACATGCACACACCCTTTAACTTGAAACAGCTCGAAAAGGAACAGGACTGATCAAGGTATCCAAATCTCCTGGGGAGAAAAGGCTTTTATGGCCGTGTCACATGCACTGGATGGATGAGAGCATGGCTCCAAGGAGGCTGTTTCCCTGACAACCACGAGGCAGGAGTAGATGCGGGAGATGGAAGGCAAACAGTTAGGGATGTCATTAGCAAAGGCCACAAAGTGGACATAGATGTGGAGTCTCCGGAGCCCTGGCTAGGATGGATTGGGTACGGAGTAGGCTGGGAGGCTCAATAGTACTCCAAAGACTTGAAACTATGAGCTTGCCTCTAGACCTTGCTATGTGACTTGCCATTTTCTCCTGGGTGTCCCCTCCTCTGCCTCGGTCCTGTTTGAAGTGGAGATCACTGGCACGTCAGGATGTAGTGCTTGCACTCTCCCCCCCCTCCATTTCTTTCAATCTTCCCTGCTCTGCTCATGCAGAGGACCGGCGAGTTCCCCTTCAGCAAGCATCGCTGCTGGGCCTTGCTGTGCAGAGCCACCCTCCTCCCCGCCGAGCGTGCTAGGGCAGCCTCCCTCCAGTCCTGGCCTGAGCAGAAAGTGCAGTACAGGGCTTGCACTTGTCCAGGTTTCCCACACATCTGGAGGGGACTGGACTGGGAATTACAGGAGCAATGTGTGCACAGCTGTGGAGAGTAAACACTTTAGGTTTTTGAGAATCCAGATGTTAAAAGCAATTAATTATTGTGTGTGCGAACTTGTAGCATTTATCTAGCCATAACAGACCCTGGCAATGTGCAAACCGACGGCATTGCACAGACCGAACGTGTAATGTTATTGCTGCCCGCGCTCATTGTCAGATCGCATACGGACAGCTGCTAACCTCTCGGCTACCCGAGCCGGCTGCAACATCATCTCTCTCTGGCCAGAGTCTCCCTCAGTAGGGATGCCATGTGGCTCTTACTCCTTGCATTCCTAACTGAATTGCATTTAAGGAACAATGCACCAAACCCTACTTTAGCCAGCAGAGAAGGAAGAGAGGGATTTCATTGTCCTTTCTGCTTTAGGAGGTGCTTGGTCGTGTTGTGAGAGGGGCTAGGAGCATCCCAGAGGGATTGGTAGCTCGGTGCAATGACAGGGAAGGTGACAGCCCCCTGCGGTGTGTCACTACACTCACAATCACAAGCGTGTTGATCAGGCCAGGGGCAACCGAGGAGGGTCTGCTCCAAACGTGGCTCATTCCTGAGGAGGAAATCTCCAGAGAGAGGTTTTCTGCGACTTTTGTATCGTGACAGTGTGACCTGAAATGGTGAGAGGAAGAAAGCTTTCGAAGGGACCAGGAAGGGTCAAATAGGACCTGCAAATAGATGAGCTCGGTACGTGCGGCTGGCTGCGGCTTGGGCTCCAGACCCAAGGGAGCTCCTTCCCAGTGGTCCTCGGAGCTGAAATTCCTCATTAAAAGCAGCAAATGCCCCTCTTTTCCCCCATGCCTGCTGCTCGCTGTCCTAACGGTGAACCTGGCTGTGGGCTAGTCGGATGGGGTAGCAGTTACAACAGGATAAAGAGAGACAGAGAGAGAGCCCAGTGTCTTTCTTCACTCTTTATTGTGTAAAAATAAACTCAACAATTCATGTAATTTGAGCAATAAAATGGAAAAAGCATGAATACCAGTAGAAACAGTGCATTTTCCGAACTGCTGATGTGGACTGTGGAGAAGTGTTAGAACCCATTCAAAACCCAAGACGACTGAGAGCAAGTCATAGGAAAAATGTACAGCTTTGGTTAGCAAAATAATGACAAAGTAAGATACATTTATTCTCTCCCCTACTGTACAATATATATACATCATAGCAATATCACACTGGTTGGGGTTTTTTTTGGCAAATCAGACACAATTGGGACTGCGGATTAATTACGTTTCCAATGAGTCGTTGCTGTTGTTCCCCACCCCCTCGGCAGATTGCGCTTAAGTCACTGTTGGCTGAAGGGAACTGGTCCTAATAAGTAACTTAGCAAATTGAACTCACAACGTGTTGTAAAAAGAGCACGGGTCAAATGCGCTGCGCTGAGCCACAGCTTGGTGCCAGGGTAACTCGACTGGCTTTGTGTGTGTGCGTGCGTGCGTGCGTGTGTGTGTACGGGGGAGGGGGTTGTGTTTGCAAACCGCGGCTCACATGCTCAGCGCTGTCGCTGCCTGGCTCGGATCAGCTGGATAGAGCAGCTTCGACCTTGAACTGCTTATTACATGCCCGTCCACCTTGCATATTTGCCACATCTTTGGAGTTGGTCGTAACGGCTCTGTTAAGCCTCTGTGAATTATCTCCCTGCCTCCCCCGCCCGCCCTTCGCCCCCCGGGATAACCCTGGCCGGCCTGCGCGGAGGGGGTCGGGGTGGGCTTCTGCGCCCTACCAGTACAAACCAAGAGCTGTAAAAAAGAAAACCATACAAAAATGTATCTATTATTTCAAAATAAGTTTCTTTCTATCGCTTCCCCTCACCCTTAGAATTTTTTAAAGTATTTTTCAGGGAGCATCAGTGCCTCTTATATGCTTTTTATTTCTTCTTCTTCATAAAAATACCTTTTTCTTGGTAGCAAACTTCCTTTTACAGTAAGAGAAATAATCATCACCATTATCATCATAATATAGTGCGTTATCAAAAGCTTGAAAGGCTTGAGAGTTTGTTTAAAGGGTAGCTAAACTTTCCAGGGAGGGTCCAGGCTCCAGGGAGGGGGATCGCGCTCGTGGGAGCTGTCGGACAGGAGCTGGGCGGAGCGGGCGCGGCCGCTGCTGCAGTGCCGCCGGCTCGAAATAGATCATCATTATTTTATAAAAGGACATTACCTGAGAGAGGCATGTATTATTCAGTGCAAGAGGGAACGTCCGGCGTGGGAAGCCATCCACTTTTTCCTTGATTTAAAATGGTCGGGGTGGAGAAGGGGGTGCTGGAGGGCAGCGCCGGGCCGGGCCGTGGTGCTGAAGGGACAGCTCCCGGCGGCTGCGGGGCGGCTCGGGCGGGACACGCGGGGACGCGGGGCCCTGAACTGGCTTGAAGACGGAAAAGAGAGAGAGAGGGGCAGGCAGTTTCCCGGGGGCTGCCCCGGCCCCTGCGGGGTCCTCCCGGCCCCTTCCAAGGGCTGCGGGGCGGCGGCCGGCGGGGGAGCCCATGCAAGCCAGCAAGCAAGCGCCAGACCGCGGGGCGAGGCGAGGCGAGGCGAGGCCCCCGCGGACACATGCAGGACACCCGGCTTCGCGCTGCCGGCCTCAGCCTCCTGCCCCCGCGTGAGACCCAAACCCCGCCTGATCCTGCACGCTCCCCGGCGGGGCTGCTCCGCCCTGCGCTCGCCCTTCAGTCTCTGGCTGCAGAGAAGTGCCCCCGGGGCTGGGCGGGGAGAGCAGCCCCCGCTGCCGCCTGCCCGGGAGCCGGGACACGCGGGGGGAGACG